CATCCCCGGCTGCCACGTGGTGATTGTCACTACTGGGCTTGTTTGGGACCAAAAAGGGCAAACCCACTCCACACTCAACACTCATATGGAGAATGTGGACCTGCTCATTAGCGAAGAGGCGCAGCAGGACATGGACCTCAAATCTGCCTTTGCGCCAACAGTCCCCCGACAACCCTTCTTTCGATTACTACTTGGTGATCCCAAACAGAGCCCTGGTGGAGTAGCTGATGGACAGAGAGCCCATCGCACGCTCCTACTCAAAGCTCCCATTGGGCTGCGAGCCCCCACCACCTGGTATATGCCGCATGAAATACCAGGAGTCTTTCACAAGCTCCTCCGACACGGCCGAGGCTTTGGCCTTAGTGACCTAGAGGAAACTGCCAAAGTAGCGGGCCACAGGCCCCTAGGGAGAAGTTGGTTTCGCCCGGAGAAGGTCCAAGCCACATCCTCTTTCGCTTGCCAGTTACAATCCACCTACAAAGACCTCTCCAGAGTAGACCTGGATCTCCCGGAAGGACTGTTGGTGGGGCTAGGCTATGCAGCTACCAGCCCAGACAGCCCGTTTGACTTTCGACAAGCGCAAACTGCGGCTGAGAGATCGGGAGTGGCAGGCCCACACTGCTGGAGCTTGATGCTGCCAACGAGTGCAAGAGTTGCACAAGAAGTGTATGAGCCGTTAATAGGAATTCAGTACCCCATGTTGCGCAGCCGAATGGGAGATACTTGGCAAATCGGTACCACCTCAAAAAGTTTTTTCTGGTCAATGGGTGTTCCAAAGTGATTGGGGGTTCCACAGCTCTCACGTTTGTTCTGCCAAGATGTTGACAGCCGACTTACTTGTCGTTTAGTAGTGGAAGTTAGAAACTATAATGCGGATGGCCGACTTCGCAGCTGAAGCTAAGTCTTTATCAAAGCGGCGCTCACGCTCCGTCACCCCACCTATAGAGATTTCTATACCCGCTCCGCTACACACTGAGCATGGGACGTCTTATTTACAATAGTTTTTTGAGTCCCTGTCCACGGTTGGCGCATGAACCAGCCCTGTCCACTGTCGGTGCATGAACCAGCCAACAGCAGCGCGAGCAAATTATTTACTTTCAAGTAATATACACCCCTAGCTGCAAAGTTCTTAGGGTTGTGAGATAGCACGTTTACGACTTCAAAGCGGATCGTTTTTGTTGAAAGGTGTTTGCGCATCACCCACCTTCTATGTATGATTTTTCTCGCGTTAAACAAATTGGAGCGAGGGGAGGGGCGCCTGCAACAACCTTCACCGACTGTGCTGCCAAGACAGCCGTAAAGAACCGTAAAAAAAAAATGTTTGAACACTGGCTTTCAAAGGCTAGGTATTGACATCATTGGGTGTTGGGGCCAGCTTTCTCAGAACGGATTGCGTGCTTTTTCAGCTCCAAGCTCTTTGGCTTTCGGGAAACATACGTCACACTCCAAATGCATGGTGGTTCAATCCATTGCAATACTGGCGGACACATAGGTTCCACGACACGATTCAACATAATAGGTCGCAACACATATTATTAGGTTACCGACACATCTAGACCTGTTGATGTGGCTGCCGTCGCAAGCAATGGTTTGGGCAACCTAAAAGCCTCCACAAACTCAGCGTCCATGAAAACCTGGCAGCGACAGCGATCCATGAGTTTGACCGCACATGTTTTTGAGAAAACATGTTACACGGGCCAGTTTTGCATAATGCGAGGCTTGCACTTTTTGTAAAGTGCTACAACATGCTCAATCATAGCAAACATTGCAACACGACAAAAAGTTAGATAGGCAAATTCTCCAAACAGGTAACATGGAGTATGACCAAATACAAAGTCTTTCAGCCTCGTTCACTCCCAAGACTAATGTTCGATGCGTCAAGTACCTAGCGTTGGAAACAGTGATGAAAGTTCGCCAACTCACACAGCAATGCTCCACAGCAAAAATAATCAATGCTTCAGTGCTCACAACTCACACAGCAATGCTCCAATGCTTCAAGAGCAATCGCGTGGCACCCTGGTCTATTTTTTCTAGCCCTTGCAGCAATGAGCACATCACTTAGCAGGCCCCTGTTCGGGATCAATCTCAGGATCTACTGTTTGCGTTTCTTCCTCCATAGCTTCGGCTCCCTCTTCATGAGAAGCTGTCGCTTCTCCTGTTGGCTCAGGTTCAACCTCAGCCTCAGCATCTTTCTTCTTCAAGAGCTTGTCGCGCAAAGCATTCTTCATTTCGGCCTAAAATATGAAAGGCATCATATTCTGCGCGTGAAAGCTCAAAAGCCAGCATGATGAATCCAGCTGTTACAGCTCGACCCAAACAAAACCTGTCAAGCGGCAATCATCGCTCGGACCTTTTCAATGGAAACACCCTTTTTCAACTCCTCATAGGCCACGTCCTTGATCACAGAAACCCCGTTCGAAAAGGAAGGCATTATGATCATTTCATGTAAACATACATACCATATGAACAGCATCCAAAGAACGATAATTTCTTTCGTTGTCTCCTTGGGGTAGATGCTGCCACCTACCTGAGAAGTCACTTCAAAAGCTTAGAATGTTTTGACACATTCAGGCAAACAGTTGTTTAACAATGAGAGGGTAGTTCCCGTTTGTTTTGCTTTTTGCAGCAAGACTACACTGCAAACCTCTTTCTTGCCTATCTTGATGCCCCAGCGGTTGGAAAGCTTGTAGTAATTGGGAGCGTACAGTTTCTGTCCATCCGCCATCTGCTGAGGCTTGTCTGAAATCCCTTCTGCAGCTTCATCCTGACCAGTCTCAGCCTGACCAGTCTCTGATGACTCGTTTTTTTCTCGCAGCTGGTCGCTTCCTCAAAGCAGATTTCCTGGGCTCGACCTCCTCGGCTGCCACAGCATCTTCGTTGTGGCCTGCTGCATCACTAACAAAGTGTTCGCTCAACCTAAAAAAGAAAGGGATGCTTCGATGAAATTTCAATAAGCCTGAACTCTCAATCGCTGCAGCTGGACGCTTCTTGGGCAAGACTTTCTTTGGCTGAGCAGGTTTAGGCTTAGGCTGCCGGTTCTTCTGACCCTTTCCAACCGGCTGTAGCTCCTGTGAAAATATCAAATGCCCGGGACATGAACACTGAACAGCTCCTGAGAAAATGAAAGCAACATATTTCTAGCACCAGTCCTCTGAGCTAGCTGACAAATCCGCATCGTTCACCGTTTGCAAGACCGGCATGACGAGGACGGCAACCAAATCAAAGTTCAAAATGATATGCTCACTGGACAGGATGACTACCGCTGTCAGCAAAGATTGGGTTCAAGGCCGGCGCATTCTAGGGTAACAAGGGAACTAAACATATCGTTATAAAGTAAAGCTCATATCACACCTACTTCGCTTGCTAATTGGCAGAAACCTCAGCTTTTTGAACTGCCGGCGATCTCTCCGCTCTATAGCCAAGAGGGAAAACCAAATGCCCCAATCGTCACAATCGCGCATAAACAGCACCATACAAAATTCTCACAGTCTTTAACACCTCATACCAGAAAAGCTGGAAATTTCCATGGGGGCTCAAAAGCTTGGCTCAACGACAACGATCACACTTACGCAGCTTCCGCTGCCGACAAATCAACGCAGCTGCCAGCTGGGATGGTCAGGTGCGCTAGCAAATACACCTTTGGCTTCACAGGCATGAGCTTGGGTGGGCTTGAAGCTGATTGAACCTCAAGCAAATACGTGCGACCACGTAAAACAACATTGTATAATCGATCACATAATGCAAATACAGTGAGGAATCTCGCAACAGAACAGAACCACAGTTTCACGTTGAAAGGTCTCAAACTCCGAATGTTAATTTCAGAAGTTTACGTTTCTTGCCCGGGGTTAACAGCTGTGGCGCCTCCCACGTCAATGCAGCCACTTTGTTGCGCGGTACCTTATGGTAATTGCTCCCGAAGAGCCCACCAAATGACACCTTCTTGACGTCACCATTTTCGGCGGTCACAGCGTTCGGCTTGTAGATACAAGTCTTCTTGGACGTCAATGACGAGACCTCCCACCTCCAGAAGTGAACCACTGGCACAAGTCACAACCATGGTTTGGCTTTTACTGAAATTAGAAGTAATCAAACCACCTGAAGCTCACCGGTAATGCTTCAGCATCAGCCTCACAATGGACGCGAAGTGACAAGCGAGCCAGACAGGCAGCGTATCCACAAACTGGTAAGAAGAATGCGCAGCAAAAAACTAAGTAAACTAGTGGTATCAAAGAAACCTTGGCAGGATGCATTTTGTTGGCGAGGACGTGAAACTCAACATCGATGTCGACCAGCCCTTGCTCAACTGTGAGCTTTCGCAAAAGCTCACACAAGGGAAGTGGCGATTTCTCAAAAGCGAGGATATCTCGATCTGAGAGGAGCCGCCAAACCAATCCTGTTGTCTCCTCGGCTTCGCCTCAATGCTTTTGAGTTTGCTGGAAATACAAACTGAAGGTACTAGTATATAAAATTTGCTACTTTTCTTCTGCTTTGCAAGAACATGTGTCAAGCAAGCTTTAGGGGCAAACGTTCAAACCAAGGGGCGTTCCACCACTTGGTTGACATAGGCTCCGGTGCCAAACCCAAATAACTCACCCGGAGGAACATCCATAGGCTCTTCGCTTGTGTTCAATAGCCAAACATGAAAGTCCGCGCTCAAAACCATGGTTGGCTTGCCGTTCTTCCCAGGTACTGCGCCGAGCCTGGAACGCTGCCAACCCCACCCATGCTTGAACAATAGTCTTCAAACGACAAAAGAACAAATCACAAGTTCTAAACCGGATCGCCTTTCTTGAGTAAACTCTGCAACAGGCTTTGTAGGAAGTGTCGCCCTGCGCGAACAATCCAATGGCTTCAATCCTTCGTCCACCGAATAGTCACAAACCTGACACGAGCGATGGCCATCACCATCGCCGCTCGCAGACTTGTCCGTTGTGCGCGAAGAGGGAACTTCACCAAATTCCGCGTGAAATGCCTTCTCCATCTCTTTGATCGCATCTTGCTCCACCGACCCTTCGGAGAATCTGTTGAGCAAGACAGAGGTCGGAAAGGAAGGCTTTCCTTTCACCATTGGAATGATGCTCAAGCCCAAAGTTTCAGCAGTTGGAGCTGCCGTAGAGGAAGGAGGTCTCTCTTTCGGAGGTGCCACATCCAAATTGCTGTCCTTGCATCGTCGCTCACACAACACTTTAATTTGGGTACCGTGAAACCAAACAGGTGGTTTTCCTGCATCGATACTCAGAAACCAATAGGCCTACCTATCTACCTGCCAACCTACATACATACAACACTACAACCATCAATCCATCCACCCACCCACACATCCATCCATCCATCCATCCATCCATCCATGCAGCCATCCATCCGCGCATACATACATACATACCTACATACCTACCTACCTACCTACCTACCTACATACATACATACATACACACATACACAAAAAGCACATGACCAGAGGCGAGTTTCCCACCAGTTGTAGACTTGACTCTCTAAGGCAGATCTCAACTCCGACACCTTCTCTTCACGCACGAGGCCCACATACTTCGCGGTTTTGGTGGCATTCGGTGACTCCAACAACTTTGCCAAAGCGGCCCTTGCAAACTCTGCTTGCCTGCAACGCGCCACAAACATATTTGGCCAAGTGTGGAACGATGAAGGGCCGATGTCAATCTTTTTCAATCTGTGAACAAATTCCGGCTGCATGAGACCCCACAATAAGACCCTACCGTATGTTTTGTAGTTTTTGCAAAGCCTGCCTGTTAGGGATCACGTCCAGCCAGACTACGCGGTCCGTGTCTCGCACAGACATGCCCTCAAGCAAGCCTTCCATCAATTGCGAAGCACAAGCAACTCCTCTCCTGAAATCAAAAGCAAAACCCATTGGATTGGGAACGCGTTGGGCAAGGCAAACAGTCACTCTTTCAAACAAGAAACCACTCAGGACTCAAACACACTGTAAAATTTAGGCCGTCTGTTTTCTTGTCGCTATGAATATGGACATGACCAAAAGAAAAGGAACCTTGTACAACTGAAACCGGCTGCGCGTCTGCTCCACGCGGGCGCTGGCACTGGGACGAGTAGCCTCGTCGTAGCCCACCATGTCTGATATGCGGATCAATGGGTATGGGCCAATTCGCCCACTTGTCATGGCGTCGCTCTCAGACCAAGGGCTGCTGTCTTTGTAAGAAGTATGCCAGGTGAGCACACAAACCTGTGACATGGGTCGGCCATCGCGTGGTCCAGAATCTGGCTTGTTGTACAGGACAGCGACCTCCTGCCCATAGGACATGCTTCCCTTGATCAGAAAGTCCTCTATGGCCCTTCTGTGCTTGATGCGAGCCACATCTGTGGTCTGCTTCTGAAACACGGGGAGCATGATGAAGCCACAGTGGCCAGGCGACATCGCTGTCACTGACCCCAAGATCTGGAACGCGTTCTTCACATAGGCTGCAAAAGCCGGGTAGAGCGTCATGTCCATTGCAGCGATGCAATACCTGAGAGGAAAGCTGTTCATGTGGGTTTTCACACCTGATGGTCACCCTTAAGTTCTTTCAACCCCTAGAAAAATTACTCCCTCTGGAACGAATCATGAATGACACTCATCATGCTAACTACGCGGTAGCCCTCACCCAAGCTTCAGGAACTCTGGGCAAAAAGCAAAATCTGAAAACAATACAAACAAAGGCGCACAGTCCCTGCGATCCCACGCCATTTTTCCAAGAAGGCCAGAAACGCGGGCATGCCTGCAGCCATGTCCTCGCTGACAGGAACAAGCAGCACATTCTCGGCCATGAACTCTTCCGCATACTTGCGTCCTTTCCTGGGAACACACACTGCACACGACATCCAAAAACAAAATTGTGTTTAATTTACCTGTTGGCAAGTCTTCCCCTCATTGCTTCAATCCTATACAGCAACGTCAAGATTCGTCTGGCGATCTCGGAGATACTTCATGTCAAGGTTGTGCTCAGCCAAGGCTTCAGCCTTTCCAGGCAACTTGGCCCGCAACGTATCAGTGTCGGCTGCAATTTGCGCCTTCACATGGACCAAATTGGCAGCTGCAACTTGCTGAGCCAGCTCTTTGACCTTTTGCTCTCTGTCCTCGGTTTTGCCCCGCTCGATCTTGGTAACGTAGGGCCTGCAGCAAACCCAAAAGTTAAGAAAATGTCCAACATTTTCCTGAAAGCAAACCACATGATTATACTCAATACTCAGTGCCCGCGGTCTTCCCGCACACCTAATTAACACGCTGTGGAACTAGCAATTTCAATGTCCTATTGTTTCGAGACAGGCCTGAAAGCAGCAACGGTGCACAAGTCTGCGCTCGCTGGAACATGGTTCTCCACAGCGTGCTCCAGGTCAGCATCTAGAAGCCCTGCGTTGAACTGGGTGTAAAGCTCCGTCTTCATGTTGATGAACTCACTCTCAGGCGCCATATCTTGCAACTTGGACAAGAAGAAAAGGAACGCGCCGCAAGCTTGATGCACCTTCGTCGCATCTTTGAAGCTCACAGCTCGGCGCAGCTGCATGGCAGTTGCATCGTGGTCAGAAGTCAAGCGCTGAATGTAAAGTTTCACCTGAAACGAGAGACTCGCCCCCCTACAAATGGTAGCTCGTACTTGTCTGAACAGAACCACATCGATTAATAAAGCAGCTGTTTTTCTTAAAACGAATGCGCTGAACACGTGTCTGCGCTTCAAGCCAACCTTTCAACCTTTCCGAAGAATCACATTGAGAAATTCACGCCGAGTAGCCAGTGTGAAATCTCGAGGCAAATTCGTCAATGGCTCTGACCAACTTTCAGCCAACCCCACACCGCTAGTCCACCCCTTGCTGAAGGTTCCCTTTCCTATCACATCGTGGTGAAGGAAACGCCCCATGCCACGCGTGGTGACAAGGCGTTCCAGGTCAGAACAAATAGGCTCTGGAACATCTGTCGACAAAGCAAAGACGGCATCGCTTTCCATCTTGCCTAAGGAAAACGCTTTTGCCAAGCCGGCGGCGTTCTTCCAATCCTGCCACAACAAAGGTCCGTCACTTCCATCAACGTTGAGCAGCGTCAAAACCGAGTTCAAAAACAACATCGGAAAACATGCACGGCACTCACACATGTCCTTCATTTGGGTTTCTGTGGAGCCCATGCCAGCTTTCTTCAACACCTTGATTTGGCGAAGAATGTTGAAGCAGTGCAAGGGTCTCCGCGTGGCGTTGTTCGCCATGTGCGCGCCTGCCAGCGACAAGAACCGATGGAATTTGGAAG